TATTTAACTATAATATATCTTCGTATTAGTTGTTTATAAATTTCAAATCACAACTAAATAATTTGTTTTTGTTTCTTGTGTAAAGTTGGGTAATATTATATTTATATGTCGTTTTAAAATGTTTCAGTTTTTGAAAACCGAATTATAAAAACCGATCCAACCAAATTGTAATTGGATCGGATCGGATCAGATTTGAATTTAGTTTGGACTATTCGGATCCATGTTTTGAAAACCGAAATCAATTTGGATTCACTTGATTGGATCGGATCAAACCGATCCATCCAAACGAACATCCCTAACCATTTCTTCCCATCAATATAGAATCAAGAAAACCAACCTTATAAAAATTAAAATTTTTTAATACCATCAAAATAGCCTAACGACTAATAATGATCAACGCTATGAATAAAACTGACTCGTTAAAAATAAAAAAATCATACAAAATAATATTATACCCAAACAAGTAAACCCCAAAATAAACAAATATTATCGAACAACATTATTTGGCACACATATAGAAGCAAGAAAAAAAAAAGTATAAATCATAAATGGACAGGTCGACAGGGGCCGGTGAAATCGGGCCCATCCAAGAATCCTAGTCCAAACGCGAAACTTGCACTCCACGATCGTACAATCTACTCATGCATCAACAATCAGTACCTCTTGCAATAATATTTGCACCTTTATTTTTTATTTATTTACTTTTTTTGTATTTATATGAAATGACGAAATAGACCCACATCCGCCTTTCCCTTTCCCTTTACCATTTCAAAATTCAATACGTTTTCTAAACACAGTCGTACGTTGTCTGAATCGCTAGGTTTTCGGCTACCATTTCGTGTAAATCGGCGTTCCTCCGGCGAACCGGCTGTTTATACAGAGTTTTTCCTCTTTGATATCTGAATTTCTTATTGAGCTTTCGCAATGTCGGTAAGTGTTAATAGTACATCGTCTTTGTTGATTTGTTGCTTTCACTATCGGATCTTCTGATTTATTTTTATGCTTTGTGAGTTTTTGAATTTATATGGATCTGTATCGGCTAAACAAGCTTCTCTAAAAGCATGTGAAACACGACAGATTAGTTGAGTTAAGTCAATATTGCTGAGCGATTCTAATTTGGATTTAGCAGAGTAGAACACTTTGCATCTTTCAAAAAGTTTTCACTTTGGTGTTTATTTTGTTCTTTGTCTATAAAAAAGATTAAGAAAACGTTTTCTGGATACGATTATAACAAGATCATTTCTTAACCTAGATCGCTATTCATATATTGTTAGCTGAGTTCTTTTCTACATAAAAACTATGCATCTTTCAGAAGTTTTCAGTTATTATTGGTATACAAGTCTCGATTTCATCATTGCCCAACACTAGTCTAAGATTATGAAAATATCCCCCAAGAGGGATTTGTCGAGATGTCTCCATCAATTAATAAATTACAAAGATATGTTACATTTACATTTTACAATGCTCAAATTTAAGTGATGTTAGCTTGTGTGTTTGAGTTTGAGTAGAGTACCTTAAGACAACTGTTTTTGTTAAAGAGTACTCTTTGTGATCAATGCTGATTTTTGTCCGTGAATTTTTTGTTTATGAGTGGATCATATTCTTACACATGGTGTATGCATTTACAACCAAGTGTGTCAATTGTCACTTTTTCATTAATGTAAAAGTATGCATTTCATAACTTTTGGTTGACATTTGTGCAGGTGAAAACTGTTAAAGTTGGCAATCTTTCTTTGAAGGCTTCTACACGAGATGTAAGGGAGTTCTTTTCCTTTTCTGGAGATATTGTATATGTTGAGGTGCAAAGGTTGGTATGCAAGGACATCAAGGTAATTTCTACCTTCAGTTTTTTCCTTTATTTGCTATTAACACCCATTATAATGTTCTATTTTTCAGTGATGATGATTTCTCCCAAAAGGCATTTGTCACCTTCACAGATTCACAAGGAGCAGATACTGCTGTTCTCCTTTCAGTAAGCAAGATTGTCTTTTTATTTGACTTCATATAATATAATGCCACATTTATTTATCATAAAACATAAAAACGTTCATGATTCATCATATAATTAAAAAGTCATAAACACATTCAATTGTGTTGAGCTAATAAGGTTTTGCATTAGGGGGCAACAATAGTCGACATGACTGTCACTGTAACCCTAGCACCAGACTACCATCTCTCACCAGACGCCACATCAGCAGTAAGAAATCCATTTTTTTTTATATATAATTATTTCCATTATGTGTAATCAGAAATAAATAATTTTTCATTTTACAGGCACGTGGCATTACAGAAAGTGAGGAATCTGTTATGAGCAAAGCTGAAGATGTAATCAGCAGCATGCTTTCAAAGGGTTTTATCCTGGGAAAAGATGCTGTTTCCAAAGCCAAATCCTTTGATGAGAAAATAGGATTCAGTGAGAAGGTGACCACAGGAACCTCCATGGTTAATGAAAAAGTCAAAGAGGTTGACCAGAAGCTTCAGGTTTCTGAAAAGGCCAAGTCAGCATATGCAGCCGCTGCGTCATGGGTGACAGACGCTTTTAGTAAAGTGGCCAAATCAGCATCCGAAGTTGGACAGCAAACAAAGGAGAAAGATGACGTGGCGCCAACTCAGCAGCCTCCTTCTCCACCTAAGACTTCACAAGTACAAGGTTTGATCCTTTAGTTTTTTAATACACGGATCCACCTTTCTTTGTGTATATAGAACTTCATATCATTAGGTTGCTATTTAGTTCTTTCTCTATTATGTTTTTGGAAGGGATTTTTTTTTTTTTTTTTTAATATTGTTATAAGATTGTGTTTTGTTGAATTTTAGTTGAGTCTATGTAATAGTTAGAAGTATTGATAAAGGGTATCCTCATCTGAATGTGTTTCGTCCTACTGTGAAACACCTGAGTATTCGCGATATGAACTGAACTCTGGTTGGCACAATGAAGAAAATAGCTATTGTGTTTCATATGACATGAAGTTCTTCAACCATATAATACTTTTTGAAGTCTACACATCTACTGTAAACACATAACCTGTGGAAATATTACCCATTTACATGGTTTTATTAAGAAACGAAAAAACTATATAATAACTTTTTGAAGGAAAAAAAAAAAAGAATAAACTATAATTTTTGGGGGTTTTTTTTATGGGTTTATGTCATATTTTGTCATTTAATTTTTGGTTTGTGTTCATTTGCTCATTTAATTTGTTTTAAAATTTAAAATGTCACTTATCTTTTAAGTTTTTTTGCTAAAATGGTCACTGTGTGTGACAATAACAAGTTTCCATTTTCTTTTGCTATCCAAAGTCATTGAATTTTTATTATTATTATTATTATTTTTGGCTATTTTAGGTCATAAATTTTTTTTAGTCTATAATTAGTCACTAAATTTTGAAATTGTGTTAATCCGGTTTATATGTTTTTTCCAACAATTCATTTTTATAACTTTAATTTTTTACATGTTATTTTTCATAATTCACTTTTATAGCTTCAGTTTTTTGCCTTTTTTTGCCATTTTTTTTTCACAATCTATTTTTACAACTTAACTTTTTTTGCTTTATTTTTATGTTTTTTTTTAAATCCATTTTTACAATTTCATTTTTTCTTTGTTTTTATATATTTTTTCATAATATATTTTTAGAACTTCATATATTTGTTTCGACAATTAGATATCAATACGAAACTACATAGTTATTAACCCAAGTGATAATCCTACAATTATTTGTTTTGCACGCATCCAGTAACGTTGCATAATTAACAACTTTCTTATCTAAAGGTTTATCTATTACAACAGTAACAACACCCCACATGTTTTTCAAACAAAAAATTATCATTCTATTCTCGTTTTTGTTGTTGATTTTTCTCTTGTACTAACTTATATATTTTGTTTGATTATTGACATCATGTATCCAAAATATGATTCTCTTCGGTAAGTATCCAACTGGATAACAAAAACTATGCATAATGTATGTTATGTAATGATGGTTTTTTGTGTGAGAAACATATGTGATGTATTGTTACTACTAGTATAGTAGGTAAACCGTCAAATGATAGAGTTGTTAATTATCTAACGTTACTAGATGCGTAAGAAACTGATAATTTTAGGATTATCACTTGAGTTAATAATTTTGTAATTAAGTTAATTTACATCTAATTGGTTAAACGAATACTATATAAAGTTCTAAAAACCTTGTGTCGAAAAATATATAAAAACAAAGAACAAATGAAGTTGTAAAATGGATTTTGAAAAAACATGAAAACGAAATAAAAAAGTTAAGTTATAAAAATATATTGTGTAAAAAAATACATGAAAAACATAGTAAAAATGAAGTTATAAAAACAAATTATGAAAAAAAAAACATATAAAAATGAAAGTAAAAAAAAAATATAAAAACCAATCGTGAAAAGCATGTAAAAACAAAACATAATTGAAGTTATAAAAACGAATTATGAGAAAAAAATATATAATACGGAATGAGAACAATTTCAAAAGCTTAGTGACTAATTATAGCTCAAAAAAAGTTTAGTGGTCTAAAATAGCTAAAAAAAGTAAGTTCAATGATAAAAAAAAATATAGAAACTTATTATTTCTGGTCATGGTGACCATTTTGACAAATATTTAAAAGTTAAAACTTAAAATTAGTTAAGCGACCAAATAAACATAAAGCAAAAATTAAGTAAAGATATATAACCTAAACATTTTTTTTATTTGATTTCCCTACCATATTTGTTCAATTATTTCTGTTAGAAAAGATCGATATAAAACTATTAGTATATGGCATAGCTTGTTTGGGTTTGTCAATTGTCACATTTGTCGTGTACAAGGTTTTGTCATTAACCAAACCAATTTAACAACCACACGTCATCAAGAATATCAGAATAACTCCGTATGGGAATTAAAGTAATGAAAATAGCCATATTGATATCTTGATTTGGAGGACATGGAAGGCGACATTTACTATACTTAAGGGTGGCTAACTGAAACTAAACAAGGGTAATTGTGAAAATTTTCATAGCAATCATAGAGATGCAATAAACTTTGTGCCGACAAAATCAAAAAATCGAAATGGGACCTAGATCGGTATGGTATGGAGTGGCACTAGAGCCTGTAGTTTATTATTTAAGGATTGTCGTATGGCAGAGACGCTGGAACTGTCGTAGGCGGGGCAAAGAGGAGGCTGCCGGAAGTTGACGGTTTCAGTTTGGGAGCCGGTGATTGACGATTGAATCGCTCAACATTTTTTCCCTTTGCATCTGTGCGTGGCGTTGGAAGTACGAACCAACGTGTTGTGTTTTTTTTTTCTTTTATTTAATTTTAACCTGTAAAAAAATTCATTTTCGTTGGGTCAAGTTACACACCTTGTGTTGCTATAGCCTCACCCATGTCACTATGATATTGTTATTCTTTTTTTTAATAGTTATGTATGGATGTTAAATGTCATTTTATATATCTTTTATATTAATTTTTGTTAGTATTTTGCATTATGCTTAAATATTCACATTCATTTAAATAATAGACAACTCATGTATTTGGTAAGATTTCTTGTATTGTTCATGTTTTGTTGATCTTGTCAACTCGATGGTTATACCAATTAGATCCCATTAACTCGTTGATTACAAAGACTAGTTCCTGTTCTTATCTTGTTCTTGGTGAACATGAAGCTTGGAATCTATCTGCAATACTTCAACAATTAAAGACATCTTCACTTTAGGTTTGTTGTGAATTATTTTTGGTATTGATGCTTTTGTTCTTGTTTGTGCACTCTTTTATAGACTGTATTGAAAGGGAGATATCTCGAAGAAAGAAAACTAATTCATGAGCTTTTAAATCAAAAGATTTTCTAGCAGTTTCATGATTCTCCTAAAAAAGGCTACGTAAAGGTCCTCTAAAAAAGTTGTATATTCATTTTTAACTATTCATCTGTTGATCATCTCTTCATTATTATCTCTTTACAATCTTTGTCTTCTACCATATTAAATGAATTGATAGATAATTCTACATTCTAGACTAAAACTTAACTTTATGATACAAAAGATTAACCACTTCTTGTTGATAAATTACACTGTTTATGATTCACGCCAATTTCACCTCAGCGTGATTGGAACGCTCCATTATCTCCTCAATCTCTTCTTGATAAAACTTAATGATTCATTGTGATATACCCCACACTGATAACAGTTTGAAACTCTGTGCCGATGGTTAGTTTTTTTATCGTAGGCTATCACACGCACCAACCCCTTCTTGCCCATAAATTCTTCTTAAAAGCTTTATGGTTCATCGTAACATACCATACGCTGATGAGAGCTTGAAACATTTATGCTGATGGTTAGGCTATATACCGTAGCTTATCACACGCACCAATATATTCTCACCTTAAATTCTTCTTTAGAATTTTATGATTCAGCGTATGAAACTAGACGCTGATGAGAATTCGAAAAATCTGTGCTGATGGATATATCATTATCTGTTATATACGCACCTACCCATTCTCTCTCAACATATTATCTATTAAAGAAGTTAATGATTCATTGTATTTGCCATACACTGATAAAACTTCGACACTCTTTGTCGATGGGTACATTTCATACCAGAATGTATTACACACATCATTCCATTCTTGCCCTCTATTCTTCTAATAAAAGAAGTTAATGATTCAACATGTAGAACCATACGCTGATGAGACCTCACAACTCTATGTCAGTGAATGATAGTTCAAACACATACTATCAGGAGACATCATAATCTTACTTGATTCTCAGTTGCTTTCCTGATCCGCTGATGGAGTAAATCGTATACGCTGATCGCTTCCGCTAGTACCATAATGATGCTAATGTCAAAAACGGGGAGAGTCTTCATGAAAACATATTCACAAGGGAGATACCATTACTCTTCATCTGCTCAGGGGGAGATATTTTCGACATATGATATTTCATATGTTGTCCTCGATATACTTTCATATATGTTCGGGCAAATTTCTCAAAGTGAAGAATAGACTATGCCATTAGATTTAAGAAAGGAAGTTCTCATCTTTAGGGGGAGCAAATGTTAAAGAACTTGTTGAAAATTAGTTTTAACATCATCAGATACGAGGAGATTGTAAGGTTACACCTTATGATCTGATGAGTCAAGCACTACACACTGGCCACCAACGCCAATGCTAGCACCAGATCTTATCAGCATCAGTGTGAACTTCATAATCTAAGTAACTTATGTATATTCGACAGTTATACGGTGTGTGTGTGTATATATATATATATATATATATATATATATATATATATATATATATGATCCGTAATCTTAGTGATTAGGATCAGACCTTTACTTAGATAGGTTTACATCCCTTAATTAGTGGGATATCAGTTATTGTAATCGTATATAATGAACATTAGGGTGAAATACTAATGTATGTCTTGGTGACCGTCTTTGTGACCTCATTTTCTTGTTGAGAACATTCTTTCTTAGTGAAAGCCTCGTTGTGATTACTCGTTTTTTTAGTTTTTCTGTTTAATCTTTGCCTAGTGTATTTGTTCTTTGTCATTCATACTTGAGTGTATTCAATCGATACAAACCTTCAAAAAAATTTACTTGGAAATTTGGGACGTTACAAGTTGGTATCAGAGCCATGGTTTGAGGATTCGGGCACCATCTCGAGTGTGTATGGACTCAAACTGAGGAAATGATAAATTTTCAAAAAGGGGGTTTTATAAAGAAAATGGGGTGTGATGCATGCAATCATCCGAGCTCATCAGCTCAAGTAAGTATTTCCC